ACTTTTAGATAGCAAATAAGGCCAAGAACCAGAGTGCTTTAGCCAACGACAGCTGAAACAGGCAGGCCTATATTTGCAGGGGGCAGGAAATCCCCATACATCAATAAACTTAGGGTTCCCTGGATGGCTTCATACAAGCAGCCAAAGAATAAAAAATTAACACTTAGCAGGTTCCACTGTGATTCTCTCTTTCCTCATTGATTTTTGGTTCTACTGTTATTTTAATTACCTTGCTGCACTTTGATCAGCTTCATGAAGTTCAGTGGCACAGTATTAACTCTTGAACTAAGCCACTTGCAAGGACATCACGCTTCCTCATTTTATGCTCCTATCTCCTCAGCAAGTCCTCCTCACTATCTCCGGCTTGCATCCAGAACATCTGCTGGAACCCTGCCTCCAAAGTCCTAAAGCCTGCAATCTGAGCCACTTACAAATGAAGGGCTGCAGAAAGTGCACTGGAAAATGACCATTCTGGATGATAGCCTGCTTAGACGCTAAAAGCCTGACACAAGGAATTGCTTTGCCTTTCGTAGCCCCCTGGACCAGGAGACTTTAATCCAATTTAAAAGTACTGGTTTATTTGTATTTATTTATTGATTCCCTATTGTTATAAGAATGAATGTTGGTCACACTGCTGTAGTGCTAACAAGATGTTCAGATTGTACTTCTTACACTGCACTGAGATTAGACAAACAAGAACACAATTCTACAGAGAGCTTTTCACATTTGAAGGCTTTACAAACATTAGCTAATTAATCCTCACAACATCCCTGGGAGGCAGGGAGGCAGCTATGGCCTTTTTCCATCCAGAAGGGTCCCAAGTGCTTTATTATCCGATGCACAGATACATTCTTAGTTTCTATCGATGGTCCCACTGTTGTGAGATGGTATACAGAATTTTCTGTCTTAGGCGACTAACTTATGAATCTTACTACCATGCTCAGGGTCTAACTGATCGCCAGATTTGGGGTCTGGAAGGAATCTTCCCAAAGGTCAGATTGCCTGCGACCTTTGGGGCTTTTCACATTCCTCTGCAGCATGGGGCATAGATCACCTGCCAGGATCATCTGGGCATTGTTAGTATATAGGCTTATTTGTCAGCCTGAGATAGAATTTTGGGTTTGACCTTTGATACTCATATCTCATACTAATATGTGTAAACAAAGGACAAAGACTGTGTATGTTTCTTCTGCCTAGTCAGATGGTTTTGTCAGTACAAGGAGAACAGATAAGATCAGTTAAAGTGTTACAGGGCATGGTGGGAGTGTAATATATGAGCACATTTTAAGTCTGCCTCAACCCCTATCTCAAGGCAAAGTCAAGCAACCAGTCAGGAAGGGCAAGGGGGGACTGGGTGGAAGGTATAAAACACTAAAAAACCAAAGAAATGCCCATCCCTGACCAGAGCACAACCTCACTCCTTACCCCTCCCATGGGGTACAAAAGAGGTGGGACGAAGACCCCCAACCCAAAACGGAACATGACCCTAAGTTGTAAGGGGTGGGACTGTGGGCATCCGTTGCAGGTATATTTGGACCTGCTAAGAAGGAGGGCATGGGGAACAGGGACACAGACAAGGCTCTGTGGTGTTAGAACTGGGAAGGGGGACATGGGGTAAATGCTCTGCGGCATCAGAGCTGGGAAGGGGGATGTGGGATAAATGCTCTGCAGTGTCAGAGCTGGGAACAGACCACTGGGAAATAGACACTGCTGGCGTGTAGAGCTCTGGATATGCTTGCTTGGAACTAACCCCAATAAACATCACATTGCCTGCTCTTCAGACTTTTGCTTTCTGTCTGCGTGACAAGAACCAGAGGAGAGGGTGAAGGGAAAGCCCTCTAACAGGCATAACCAACCTAATCATTCCCTGCCATCACAGGAAACTTGGGCATTAGTGGCATCTCAGTTACTCCCATTCTCTGCCTGCCATACACAACAGTCCTTGTGTTAGCCTCCCAAAGACTGGTTTAACCGAGGTCATCAGGCTCAATGTAGAGGTATTTGGTTGAAGTTTAGTGGCCTGGAGGTCAGACTAGATGATCTGATGGTCCCCTCTGGCCTTAAACTTCATGAAAGCTCCGCTTAGATTACAGATCCCCGCTTACCTTGAAGTAATCTCCAAATGACCAGGACCCCAGCATCTCAAAGAAGGTGTGGTGATAGACGTCTTTCCCCACATCATCCAGGTCATTGTGTTTGCCCCCAGCTCGGATGCACTTCTGGGTATTGACGGCTCTGGTCAGTTTAGCCATGGGGTGGGAGGGGTCAAGGGTATTGAGGAAGATGGGTTTGAACTGGGAGGAAATAGAAACAAGATGATTTAAACTTAAGAACTCACCTAGGCAGCGAGCACTCTGTGGGTCAGTATGTGTGGGCCAATAAGAACATGCCCAATGCATGTATTTAGAAATGCTGAGGTTGCCACTCCACCAGACTAGGGAACCTTTCCATCACTCCTACCAAACCAGGAGCAGTACTGGTGTACTCCCAGGGGTGCGGCATCCACCTGTCTGTGCCCAGGAGGAAGGCAATTATGCCCTCTGCCCCAATTCAAATAAAAGACTACCAAAGTTTTTTTAAAAACAGGATTTGTTTGCTTGGTGCTAAGGGCCTAATCCAAACCCCACTGTAGTCCTGTCACTGGCTGCCTGGGTACTTGGACCAGGCCCCAGTGGCGGAATGACAGTATGGGAATGAGGGAAATGATGCCTGGTACACAGAACGGAGAGGTCTCTGGAAAGCCCCCCGTGTCTGAGCAGGGTTCCCCCAAGGAGCAGGGAGCAGTCTGCACCTCCACCAAGGATTCCATATGGGGAGGGAGGGAGGCTTTAAACACCAACCACGGTTTAGCAGAATCATTGTTGAGAAAAGCTGTGCTAAGTCAGCACATCCCCCAGGTGACATGGCCAGACTCCATTCCCAGCCAGGGCTGCCCTGCTCTGGGCCCTCCAGCGTACACGGACATCTTCTCTAACATCATCACAACACAGCACTGGGAGCCCACAGCCAGGGGTCTGACGGGGAACTGCTGGAGCAATTCAAGCCCGTTATATCTCACCAGAATGAATTTCAGAACGATAAATACTAGCCACAATATACACGGCCAAGCACTCCTTAGTTCTTTGCTCCTGTAGAAAGCACAGGACAGGTACCAAAATCACACAGTCCTAGGGGAGAGTCCTACCTGATTCATGCCAGCATTGGCAAAGAGCAGAGTAGGATCATCCAAGGGGATAGTCGCAGAAGAGTGGACGTAGGTGTGCTGGCGCTCCTTGAAGAAATCAAGGAACTTTTGCCGGATCTGCCTAGCTGACAGTGTAGTTTCCATCCTGAGATCACCACGCAAAGCTGGCAAAATTAAAAAGAGAAAGCAGATGGGTGAAGGACACATTCTGCTTAGTTTAATGGGACAGTAATGAATAAGGATCCCGGGGAAGGGGCAACTGGGATGTAATTCACCTAATTCTTTTGTCTGGGTCTCATGAAAGTTAGGATTTTCAGATGTTAATTTCTAGTCTCACTTGTTTCCAGGAGTAATGAGAGTGTCTCACTCTGCCATAAATGGTATTTGGCTAAAGGATCACAGATTCTACAGCTTTAAGGCAAAGTATCCCCTCAACACTTGTGTGTGGATACCAAACCATTAAGTCAGATTGAGCATGGCTCCTCTGGGGAGGGGCCCTGAGCCACAGATACAAAGGCCTACAGTACTGATGACTCTATGCTGTGGCTCATGAATGCCATCCAACAAGGAACACATTGCCTTGCAAATACAATAGACAGAAAATGGGTTTTAAGTGATCATTGCATGCTCTACAAACCACGAGTTAGGGCTGGCAATTCAATAATTCACTTAGCAGGAAAAAAAAAGGGAACAGATTGATATAGTTTAAAAAAACCCTAAACATCAGGATGCAAGGAAATCGAGACTTAAGGATCCAGCACCAATCATCACTATCCTACAGCAAATTAATTACCAGCCCTTCTCCCCAGAGAACACTGGCTGCTTCCCGCTTCCTCTCAAGACGGAAAAGAGGACTGGGGACATGCTGCAGTCCCTGAAAGTGTGTATGGGAGAACTGGTAAGCAAGGTCTTCTCCAGCTGCCAGGGGGACAGCAGGCAGAAGTAAGAAAGGGGTCTGAATGGTTTCTTTCTGTCTGCTTCTCCAGAGCCACAGGAGTAGCAGAGGAACCAGCAGTGCCAGTGTCAGTGCAACACTCCTTCAGCAGCCCACATGTATTTCAGTTCCCAGTCACCCAGGCCCAGATTCACAAAAGCATTTAAGCACCTAGCTCCCATTGAAATCAATGGGAACTAAGTGTCTAAATATCTTAGAGGATCTGAGTCTTGGAGTCCATTCTGGAACCCTCCAGAGGAATTTAGAGAGAAAGAAGTGTCCCGAGCAGAGACTCTGCCTGTCCACCACCCAAGTCATTAGAGCAGCTGCCTCTCTCTGAGCAAGGGAGAAGAAGCTGGGGTTGGAAGCAAGGGGAAAAAAATCTAAATGTAAAAAACCACAGCATCGTTTTTAAAGTGTATTAAAACGCCTGGTGACATTTTAGCTGTAAGGCGTTTTCACTTCTCCCAGAGCGAGGATTTTGGCAAGAACCACCCCTTTAGCGAACTGGCCAAAGGTCATACGCAGAGCAAAGAACTGAACCCAGGAATCCTGACTTCCAGTCCCCAGTTCAAACCAATACCCCTCGCAGCATATGCGGATGGAAAACAGGCTATGCCATTTTAAGCAGGGCTAAGATGATGCAACAAGACTCCAAACATTTACAGATAGGGAACAACCCCAATGCACCTGGCATTGGCAACGGTGGATACCGAGCTAGACAGACCATGGGTCAGACCCAGTATGGCCATTACGTTGCCCACGGCATGCATCCGATGAAGTGGGCTGTAGCCCTCGAAAGCTTACGCTCAAACCAACGTGTTAGCCTCAAAGGTGCCCCAAGTCCTCCTGTTCTTTTCACATTCTTAAAGTACATTTAAAATGCGGCCCAGGGGGCCTGACATTCGGGAGATCTCGCTGAAAACACTAGAGCCCAAAGACTGCCCCCAGACCTTCGCCCAGAAGGCCCCGGGACTGCCAGATCCCCGCCACGTGCCCGCTCCCGGGGCGCCGGCAGGTCCCACGGCCCCGCCCCTCCGACCCGGGCCCCGCCCCTCGCCCGCGCGCCCCGGCCCCCAGCCCGCGCGCCCCGGCCCCCAGCCCGCGCCAGACTCCCAGCATCCCCCGCGGCCGCGGGCCTGGAGCGAGCGGCTCGGGAAGCGGGGGCACCGCGGTAATGGGGGGGGGGGGGATCCCGCTCCCGCTCCCGCTCCCGCTCCCTGCCGGCACGGCTCGGCTCGGTCCGGTCCCCCCTCCGCTGCCAGCGCCCCCGGGCCTGCCCGCCCTTACCTCCGCCCGGCAGCGCCGCCACCGCACTCCGCGCCTCACCGCGCAACCGAACCCGCTGCGCCCTCCGCCCCGCCCCCCCGCCGGGCGCGGGCGCGGGCGCCGGCCACTGATTGGTCTCTGCCGCTGACAGCCACCCGCGGGCCCTGGGGCGGTGCGTGGTGACGTCACGGGGAAGGGGCGGGGGGGCGGCTGATGCAACGGCCACGAAATGGCCTCTCGTGGGGGAGGGGGGGCTGCCATCGTCGCTTCGCACGGGGCGGGGCCAGAGGGGAGCGCGGGCCCTGAGGCCCCTGGGGGCGGGGCGGGGCGGGCCGGCGCCCCCTGCTGGCGTAACGAGGGAGAGCTGGGGGGAGGGTAGCTCAGTGGCTCCAGCGTCGGCCTGCGAAGCCCAGGGCTGCGAGTTCAATCCTGGGCACCACGCTGGGTAATCGGGAGGGTGGAAGAGCAGGGGGGCCGATGAAGCCCTCTTGCTCTAGGCCCGGACAAACTGCGGCCCCCCTGCTCCCGGAGCTTTCTGTGACCCTGCCCGGCCCCGGGGAAGCTAGCACGCAAACAGGCAGGTTCGCACAGGGCTCGCCGGCCGCGGCCAGCTTCGGCCTGGGAAACGTAGAGATGAGGCAGAAGCGTTCAGCAAAAACCAGTGACAAATAGACCCGAATGAGGCAAGGCTCGGGCAGCGCTGCTGAGGAAAAACACAACTGGCTGCTTCAGCTGCTTGGCTACGGTATTGTAGGGGGCAGCCGGGAACTGGTTGCCTAAGCTTGTGCAGTGAAGTAGGCAAAGGTATCAGCCGGGTGCTGCGAAGGCCTGGGGCGCCCAGAGTCGTCCGGGAATGCGGGACGGGCGCAGTACTGCAGGCAGGCCGCAGTGCACGCAAGCTGGAACGTGTTTGGCTCGGATCCAATGACAAAGAGCAAATGGAAAAGATTTTGTACAGTAGACTGGCCTCACTATCGGCGAGAGGACCAGGAATGGTGGCCCCCAGGAGGGTCCATCAATTATAACACGATCCTCCAATTGGTTCTGTTTTGTCAGCGAACGGGTAAATGGAATGAACATCTGTATGCGCAAGCGTTTATGGCTTTAAGAGATAGAACAGACATTCTGCAGAGCTGTAATTTGACTCCAACAGGACCAGTAGTGGCTAATGTTAGCCCCCAGAACCCCCCCAATGTTGTAATAGCAGATTCGGTGTCCCCTTTGGCCCCCACACCCCCACCTTATAAGGGTAGGATGCCTCGGGTTACAGAGATTGCCCCCTCAGTGGGACTCTATCCTTTGATTACCGAGACTGTTGTGGCTCGCCCAGAGGCAGACGGACGCCAGGCCACCACCATGCAAGTTTACACCCATGTGCCATTCAATCCAATAGACTTAGCAGCTTTTAAAACACAGGCTGGGGAATTCTCCACGAACCCAAGCCGGTTTATTTCAGTCTTTGAGGGGTGCCTCAGTAGTCACAGCTGGATTAGGACGACTGTAATATCCTCCTGAGAACCCTGTTGTCTGGGGTAGAGCGGAATCAGGTTACAGCTAAGGCAAGGGAGGAGGCAAGGCAGAGACACGAAAGCCATGGATCTGCCGGATCTCTCTAAGCCATTTCAATTGTATATACATGAACGAAAAGGGGTGGCCCTGGGAGTGCTAACCCAGTTCTGGGGACCTGGAAACGTCCGGTGGCTTATTTTTCCAAACAACTGGATCAGGTTGCAAAGGGTTGGCTGGCATGTTTACGGGCGGGTGCAGCTACTGCCCTAGTACTTGAGGAAGCCGAGAAGCTAACATTGGGAGGGGTTATGCAAATATATACTCCCCATATGGTCCGAGCCCTGCTAGACACCAAGGGTGGGCTCTGGCTCACCCAGGCTCAGATTGCTTGGTGTCAGGCTAAGCTGTTAGAGAACCCCGAGGTCACCCTTGCCCCTCCCTTAACCCAGCCACCCTCTTGCCAGAAACAGAGGAACAGGAACACGACTGTTTAGAGATCATAGATGCCCAATACTCCAGCCACCAGGACTTAAAGGATCAGCCGCTCCCAAATGCGGATTATGAGTGGTACACTGATGGTAGCAGCATTGTCATGGAGGGGCAAAGGAGGGCGGGTTATGCTGTTGTGGCCCTCCATGATACCGTAGAGGCCGAGAGGTTGCCCACCGGGACCTCTGCCCAGCTGGCTGAGCTAGTAGCCCTGCCCCGTGCACTCAAACTGTCAAAGGGAAAGCGGGTCAATATTTTTACCGATTCAGAGTATGCTTTTGGGATGCTACATGCTCATGCTGGCCTGTGGAAGCAAAGGGGAATGCTAACGGCCCAAGGCTCCCCAGTCAAGTATGGGCCCCAAATTCTCCGGCTCCTAGAAGCCGTACAACTCCCCTCGGAAGTAGCGGTGGTGCACTGTAGAGCCCATCAAAGGGAAAATCAAGACGTGGCCGGGGCAATGCCAGGGCGGACAGAGAAGCCAAGCATGCCGCCACCTTAACTCCACCGGGAGCTGAGGATGCCCACATGCATACCCTCATCCCATCAGTGGGGGAGCTTCCGACCCCTCAGTACTCTAGGGAAGAGAGGAAGCTAGCTGACAAACTCGGTCTTCAGGAAAAAGAGGGATGGCTTCATTCCCCAGAAGGGAAGATCCTCCTACCGAAGGGCCTGATTCGGCCAGTACTGCAGCAGTTACACCAAACCACTCACACCGGCAGAGAGGCCCTTATCCAGCTAATGGGAAAATACTTCTTGACTTCTGGACTCCAACCCCTGGCTACCCAGATACAGGCTGACTGTTTAGTCTGCCAAAAGAATAACCCCCGGCCAGGACATCCAGTAACACCAGCTACCCTGGAACCCACTCCAGGCCCCAGACTGGTGTGGCAAATAGATTTTACTGAGTTTCCCCGAACTCAAGTGTTCAGATGTCTCCTTGTCTTGGTGGACCAATTCAGCAGATGGCCTGAAGCCTTCCCAAGCCTTAATTGCACTGCCAAAACAGTGGCCCTCAAGTTCGTTAGGGAAATTATTCCCTGCTTTGGACTCCCCCAGTGGATGGAATCTGACAATAGGACGCTCTTCACATCAAAGATTGTTCAAAACATCTCAGATGCCTTACAGATCCCCTGGGAACTCCATACGCTCTGGAGACCGCAAGCCAGTGGTGTAGTGGAGCGTACCAATCAAACCCTTAAGCGACACCTCTCAAAAGTGTGCCAAGAAGCCTCCCTGCGATGGCCCGATGCTCTGCCCCTTGTCCTGCTCCGTGTCCGTGCGCTCCCGAAAGGTAGATTAGGGCTTAGTCCCTTTAAAATTATGTTTGGAAGGGCATGGCCTATGAATGGCAGAGACAGGTTCTGGCAGGGGAGTGGGAAATGGGGTTTGGTTTTTTGTCTCAGTACATGTGCTTTCTGTCTGCTGTTCTCTCTTCTCTCCACAGGTATACCAAAGACTTCCAGCCTCTTCCATTGGATGCCCCTGTCCTCTCCTTGCAGCCAGGTGACTCCGTGCTTGTTTGTACCTGGAAGGATGAGCCTCTCCAAGAGAAGTGGAAGGGACCCCACACCGTCCTGCTGGTTTCCCACACGGCGGCAAAGGTCAAGGGACACAAAAACTGGATCCATCACTCTCGCCTGAAGGCGGTGCCTGCTCTTCCACCGGCAGAACAGTGGACCGTCCAGCCCATCACCACCTCACCCTTCGATGATCTTGGACTCAAATTATTGTTTAAAAAGACATAAGCACGGGGTATATACATACATATATGTGTATATACATACATTTGTCCCCAGCCGCAAATACCTCTATTCCTTTACGTAATAGTGCTGGCCAAGATACAGGTGAAGGGCTTCAATATTACACCCCCTTAGAAGCCGCAGCTGACAAAGCGGGGCACAATGGCAAGGGAGCAATGGACAGTCCTTTTATGTCTGTGGTAACTCAGCCTATAAATGGCTACCCCACCACTGGCAAGGAACCTGTTATGTGGGATACCTTATCCCTCCCCTTCGGGTCATGACCCAACTCCCATCGGGCCGTCCCCGGCGTCAGCGGTCCCTGTATGCCACCCCCGAACCCATTAGCGAGGAAGATAGATTCGGTATGATTCTTATCCCAGGCTACAGGGTAGGTAGATTGGCCAACCTCTATCGTCAGCTTTCTGTATTCCTCACTAAGTTTGCCAATGATACCTTAGCCATAGAAAAAAGCCTTAATTCAGAGCTTTACCAGCTCTGGTTGTTGTCCCTGCAAAACCGTCAGGCCCTAGATTACCTTTTGGCTGCGCAGGGTGGGGTGTGTGCCCAGATTGGGGAAGAATGCTGTACGTATGTCCCAGAAAATGCACAGGATATTAACAAGCACATCATGTCAGCCGAACAAGCTCTTAACCAGTGGAAAGCCCAGAAAGAGAGCCCACTATTTTTGACTCACTCTGGGGATGGCTGCCCGACCTGGGGGGAGGCGTTGTTCGTCTCCTGGTCACAGGTGCCGTGTTGTGTATTATCATTCTCCTCTTGCTTGCCTGTTGTAAAGCACTCATATACAAAATACATGCCTCCCGCTCCACAGAAACCCCATTATATCCTCTTGTTGAGGATTCTAACTCCTCCTGAGCGCTGAATCACTTATTGTCCTTGGAATATGAGACAACTCAGTTGCAAGCTTGTTGAGTGTTCTCAAAGGAGGGAGTTGTTGGTGACACTGGGCACTACTCTAGGTAACTCGGGAGGGTGGAAGACCACGAGGGTCGATGAAGCCCCCTTGCTCTAGGCCTGGACAAACTGAGGCCCCTCTGCTCCTTGAACTTTCTGTGACCCTTCACAACTGTGAGGAAGCTAACACACAAACAGGCAGGTTTGCTCACGGCTCGCCAGCCAAGGCCAGCTTCTGCCTGGGAAACGTAGAGATGAGGCAGAAATGTTTAGCAAAAACTAGTAACAGACCCAAATAAGGCAAGGCTTGGGCAATACTACTGAGGAAAAACACAACTGGCTGCTCTAGCCGATTGGCTACGGTATTGTACGGGGCAACAGGTAATTGGTTGCATAAGCTTGTGTAGTGAAGTAGGCAAAGGTATAAAATGTATACTGGTATCTGCATGCGGGGCTGCGGGATTTGAGACAGCTCAGTCTCCCTGCGCCCTATTTGGAGCTCCAGATAAATCTCTCTGCTTCTCCACCCCGTTGTGGTCATTGGCGCGATGCACACCAGGCAACGAACCCAGCTGCTGCTTGCCTCGGCCACTCTGTACCGGCAACAGGGCCATTTAGGGATCTGGGGCAAAAATTGGGGATTGGTCCTGCTTTGAGCAGGAGGTGGGACGAGATGACCTCCTGAGGTCCCTTCCAACCCTGATATTCTATGATTCTATGAGTCCGCCCCGTTGCCCCTTGGGCGACAGCCCGGGGCACTGTGCCAAGAACGGACACACCAGCCCACAGGGACGGGGCTGGCGAGGACCTTGCCTGGGGGGAGCTCGGGCCCACGAGCGGCCAAGGTCAGCCACGTCCCCGTCCTCGCGTCTCATGGCCCTGTCGCGCCTTCCTCCAGGTATTTCATCAGGTGCTCAAGGGGCAGCGCCTCAGAACCGAGCCCAGACCTCAGCAATACCAGGAGAAAGGAGCTTCAGTCTCCAGAAGAAGCCAAGACAGGCAAGTAGCCAGAATACTCTTTAGTGGACCGTATGTATTCAGGGACTACAGTCCTGATTACTGAGGGACAGTTCACACTCTTCACAAGCTATTCCGAGCGTAACTTTTCTCAAGACCAGAAGAGCGGCCATGCTGGGTCAGCCCAAGGTCCAGGTACCTGTTCGGCATGATGCAAGTAGAAAGTTGGCAACCCTGGGCTGGGGCTCCTCAGGGTGGGAGAACAAGACTTTAAAAAGCCCACTCCTAAGTGCCCCGAGGAGCTAGGGAACAGGAGCTCAGGGCTACACTAGAAACTTCAAAGCGCTGCCGCGGTCACGGGGAGAGAGCTCTCCCAGCGCTCCTGGTAATCCGCCTCCACGAGGGGATTAGCTCTGAGCACTGGGAGCCTGTCCACACTAGCACTTTAAAGCACTTAGGCTTGCTGTGCTCAGGGGGGAGATTTTTCTCCCCCCGAGCCAGCAAGTTTTGAGCTGTATAAAATGTCAGGGCGTGGCTGCACGTGTGAGTTACAGCGCGATAAAGGAGCCCCGGGCACACTAGCTCACTCCCCGTCCACACTAGCAAGGCATGTAGAGCGCTTTGACTGCTGGTACCTCACCTCAGCGAGTGCAATAACGTTTGCTGCACCCTCGCTGGAGCGCCACGGCACCAGTGTGAACGAGGTGTTGCTTTACTGCGCTCTGATCAGCCTCCGGAAACATCCCATAATCCCACTCTTATGGCCACTCTTGTAATTGTTTGGAATCGGCTGGAGGAATGCAGAAATACCCTTTGGAAGCTCCGTTTCTGACAGCTGGCTGCTTATCTGCTCCGAGACAAAGCAAACCATTGGTGTGGAATGCTGTGTGTGTGTGAGAGAGAGAGAGGCGGGGGGAGGGGGGTCTGCTGCTGTCTGAACTCACAAGACAGAATGCTGACATGCTCTCAGCCCCCCAAAAACCCACTCTCTCTCCCCCCACATATACACAACACACTCCCTGTCACACTCCACCCCACCCCACCCCACCCCATTTGAAAAGCACATTGCAGCTACTTGCATGCTGCGATAGCTGCCCGTAATGCACCGCTCCCAATGCCGCTGCAAGTGTTGCAGCTGTGGCCAAGCTAGTGCTCTTGAAGCTGTCAGTGTGGACAGACTGCAGCGCTTTCCCTACTGCGCTCTGCGAAGGCTGGTTTAACTAAAAGCGCTCTACGTCTGCAAGTGTAGCCATGCTCTAAGTGTAGACAAGCCCTTGCAGTATGGGAAACTGAGTCATCTATCTGCCGCCCCGACCGGGAAAACCGAGAAGTCTGCTGTTTGCCAGGAGCTAGGATTTACGATGTGACGGAGAGACTGCCGAGACTCATCAAGCCCTCGGATCGCTACCCCTTCCTGCTTCTCCATGTGGGCACCAATGATACTGCCAAGAATGACCTTGAGTGGATCACTGCACACTACGTGGCTTTGGGAAGAAGGATAAAGGAGTTTGAGGCACAAGTGGTGTTCTCATCCATCCTCCCTGTGGAAGAAAAAGGCCTGGGTAGAGACCGTCGAATCGTGGAAGTCAACTAATAGCTACGCAGGTGGTGTCGGAGAGAAGGCTTTGGATTCTTTGACCATGGGATGGTGTTCCAAGAAGGAGGAGTGCTAGGCAGAGACGGATTCCACCTAACGAAGAGAGGGAAGAGCATCTTCACAAGAAGGCTGGCTAACCTAGTGAGGAGGGCTTTAAACTAGGTTCACCAGGAGAAGAAGACCAAAGCCCTGAGGTAAGTGCGATACCAGGAGGAAGTACGAGCAGGAGTCCCAAGAGAGAACAACCATGTAAACAAAGAGCACAAACACCCCCCCAAAAAAGATCTGAAAGTATCTTGTCCCCTTATTGGTCCTTTGGCTCAGGTGCCAGCTGGGTTAGCTGAGCTTCTTAAGCCTTTACATGTAACAGGATGCTGCCTCTGGCTAGGTGGGATTTTATAGCACTGTATACAGAAAGGTGGTTACCCTTCCCTTTATAGTTATGACATTCTTAAAGTGTGGCACCCAAAACTGGACACAATATTTAAAGGACATAAATCCACACCGTGTAGAGGTCAAGCATAGGAGTTTATTACGTACAGCGCTGATGGAGTGTCACCTTGCTTGTAAGGCTCCGAGACACTGTTAATTCATGGAATATCAGTAATGGAAGGGACCTCAGGAGATCTAGTCCAACCCCCTGCTCAAAGTAGGACCAATCCCCAATTTTTACCCCAGATCTCTAAATGGCCCCCTCAAGGATTGAACTCAGAACCCTGGGTTTAGCAGGCCAATGAGCCATCCCTCTCCCCTTACAATGGAATATATGGATTTTTTATGGGTGCGGGAAAGTGACTGGGTAGGCAGTCCCACACCCCCTGGATAGGTCTAGCAGCAAGACATGATAGGACAGTAGCCAATGGTCAAAGGTTACATAATGTCTTCGCCCATGGTCTCAGGTTGTCAAATTAACATTTAATTAGTACTTTAATAAATGTATTAATATAAAATATATATGTTGAATTCTGATTTGGGGTCCATATGAATGAAGTAGCTCCTTTGATTGTCTGACAGGTACGTATCTAGGGGTAAAAGCAAAGAAACAATGAAAGTATATTGTAATAAAGATTGTCTTTCAAGTTGTTCATTTGTGTTTTACGGCAGGCATTGGTCCCTGGGAAAGGGAGGAGGCCATATCTTAAACTGACATGCTTGAACCTTTCATAAACTCAAGGTTGGATGTGTGGGAAGAACTCCCTACAGAAGAAACTAACACAACAGAAACAGGACTTCTTTGTTCTATTTGCAACTTTGAATAAGACACAATTATTGCCCCCAACATCTGGCGTTTTGCTGACCAGGCATATCTTGCCAAAAGCAAGCTTATCTTTTGGTTATTCTGCTTTCTCTTAGCTCATCACTATTTGCTAGGCCTCTGACCTCTTGACCAAACTCTGGACTTTGGGCCTATACACAAATCCATATACCAGGTTATTACATCAGCAATGGATTTTAACCATTCAATATTCCAACTGGTACGTCACCAGTGTCAAGTAGAATGGAACAATTAGCTCCCATGTCTTGTATAGGACAC